GTATCGTTGAAAGATGAAACCGATCTCTATGTGAAGCAGCTCGCACAATGTTATGCTTCGCCTCCTTGCAGCTGTATTTTTCGGCCGATGCAATTGATGCTGCTTGTTATACTCAAAACGGATCGTATTTGAACAAGAGATTCTCTATCACTCCCTACGAGATCTTGAACAATCGTAAACCTAATGTGAAATTCTTTCATGTGTTTGGTTCAAGATGCTTCGTGTTCAACTCCAGAGAGAATCGAAACAAGTTTGATGCTAAGGCTGATGAAGGAATTTTGTTAGGCTACTCCCCGAACTCCAAGGCATATAGAGTTCTCAATAAGCGCTTAATTAAGATTGAAGAAACATACTATATCAACTTTGATGATAGTTATGTTAAGAAGATGAAATCAACAAAAGGTGCAACGCAAGAAATCTTTCCAAAGAATGGTCAAGTTAGGACCTCTATCTCAAATCTTTTTGAGCAATACTTGCTTTTGTTTGATGAGCCTCCAAAGGCATTTGACTCTGAATCAGCGACAAAAGACAACAAAGTTAATAATCTAAAACAAATTATCGACGACGCTGCTCAAAAGATGGCTGATGATCAATCCAAAGAAACCGAAAGGCCAGAAGCAAGTGAACCTTCAAGTGACCGTCCTAATGTCCAGGGGGAGGGTCCATCTCTTTATCATGATCAAGGTTCATCGTTCCATGGGTGAGCTCATTGTCTCGTTCTTCAAGCTCTTCTAAGAGTCCAATCAAAGAAAGGAACACAAATCCAGGTACCAAACAGGCGTCATTCTTCGAGGGGGAGAACACTAACGTTAATGATGATGACATTCTATCTGAATTAGAAGAATAAACAAATGCAGAGTTGGATCCCACTTATGATCCAAATTACCCATCTCTTATCAAATGGACCAAAGATCACCCTCAAAGTCAAATTATCGGAGAATCTTCAGAAAAGGTGTTCACTCGATCACAAATCAAAGAGAAACAAGATGCATTCTTTTCTCAGGTAGAGAGTTTTGCATGTTCAACTCCTTTGTCTCCAAAGTCGAACCGAAAACCGTTAACTCTGCACTGGATCATTCAGATTGGGTTCAAGCCATGCAAGATTAGTTAAATGAGTTTGAAAGAAACAAAGTATGGCATCTTATTCTAACTCTAAAGGATGCTTCGGTTGTCGGTCTTAAATGGGTATTCAGAAACAAGATGGAAAAGGAGGGAAATGTTATATGTAACAAAGCACGGCTGGTGGTCAAAGGCTACTGTCAGGAAGAAGGCATTGATTATAAAGAGACCTTCACTGCAGTTGCAAGATTAGAGTTTGTTCGTATATTTCTTGCCTATGCAGCTCACAAGAACTTTGAAGTCTATCAGATGGACATCAAATGTGCCTTTCTCAACGCGGAACTTGAAGACACTGTATATGTTAGGCAACCGCCAGGCTTCGTGAATGAAAGGTATCCAGATCATCGTTATGTCCTTGACAAAGCGGTATATGGCTTAAAACAAGCTCCCAGAGCATAGTATGAAACTCTGACTCGATTCTTAAAAATATCTAAATTCAAACAAGGTTCGGTTGACCCAACTTTCTTTCATAAGAGAGAAGGTAACCACCTTATGATAGTCCAAATTTATGTTGATGACATCATCTTTGGCTCCACGAATCCTAGCTTAACAGCTGAATTCAGGAAGTTGATGGAAACTAAATTTAAGATGAGCTCAATGGGTCCAACTAACTTTTTCCTTGGATTAAATATTAGACAGGGAGCCAAAGGCATTTTTATTAACCAGGAGGCATACACCAAGACTCTATTAACTAAGTTTGGTATGATGGCTGACTCCAAAGTTAAAGTGCCAATGGCCTTTGGGACAAAGCTTACACCCTCACTGGAAAGCCAGCTGCAGATATGATGCTCTACTGTCAAATGATCAATTCTTTAATGTATCTCACAGCCAGCAGACCCGACATCATGTTTTCAGTCTGTTACTGTGCAAGATTTGAAGCCAACCCACGCGAACCTCATCTGCAAGCCGTGAAAAACATCTTTCGCTCTCTGAAGCGAACCTCCTCTCTCGGTCTGTGGTATCTAGCCAACTCAGGATTCTTTGTTCAAGCATTCTCATATGCTGACTTAGATGGTTGTGGTTTAGATCCTAAAAGCACCACTGGAGGATGTCAATTTCTAGATGGAAAATTGGTTAGTTGGCAATCGAAGAAACAAACTTGTGTTTCTCTCTCCACTGCAAAAGCTGAATACATTGTTGCAACATCATGCACATCTCAAGTGGTATGGATACAAAGTCAGGTTAGGGATTATGGGCTATATATGAAGAAAATCCCACTATATTGCGACTCTGAAAGCACAATTAGGATTTGTCATAACCCAGTGCAACACTCGAAGACCAAGCATATAGCACTGAGGTTTCACTTTATCAAAGTTCACGTCGAAGATGGCAACGTAGAAATCCATTTCGTCAGAACAACTGATCAACCGGATGATATATTCAGTAAGGCTTTACCTGAAGCAAGCTTCAACAAGATTCTACGAGGCCTAGGAATGATGGAAGCAGAATCAGTGCCCAAATCGCCTTCACTTCAATAAAGGTTAGAAGCGAAATAGAGCGAACCGAAATGAACCGAACGTTCGATCTATTTCGGGTTCGTTCCTTCTGAACTTATTCGCTTCTTTTTGCTTCCAAGGCATTTTGGCTGTATTTGTCTGTACACTCCTTTTAAAATTCTATTTTATTCATAAAAACCAAAAATATTTTTCTCTTTCGTTCAATTAAATAACTTTCACAAAATACAAAAATATTTTTTATAGTTTTTTTTTCATTATTTTATTTTATTTTTAATCTAATATTTTTCTTTGTTTAAGTGTAATTCTCGATGGTGGAGCGAAAGCAAGTATATTTATTTTATTTTATTCCATTAATTAGGCGTCCCTAGGAGCATGTTGTTGTATGTTGACTAAAGCCTCGAAAGATTTTGAATGAAGCCTTAATAACATGATATATACAAATCATGTTTTCCCAATTCAGGTTGTACTATTCACTCTAATCATGAGCTACCTTACTTTACTCACATTGAGTTCAGAGTTTTCTGCTTGGTCACTTTTTTTCTTTAGAGCAGAGGTACATTCGCTTCATATACCATCTCCACTATTTTTCTCCATTATACTTCGTATCACCAATATAACCCCTAAGACTCTCAGCATTTACCACTAAGGTTAATGGTTATACATAATCTGTGTTAATGATCTTAGTCTCATGCCACTATATACTAAGTGAAACCCACAATTCAACACCTCAAATGAATTGACGGTGAATTCTCATATTCAAGAGCTTACTTGTTACCTAATGAAATCTCCTTTTATTTTTGAGTGATCTTTTATGAATTTGTCTAAAACCAAGGCTTTTCTTCCCTTAAAGATTCAGTTTTTTTTTTTTTTTTTTTTGAGATTTCTATAATTTCTTTTCTAACTATAAAAGATATCTTACCTACTTGTTCAACAGATCACAATGATCTCACAAGTACTTCATTCAGTTTCGGTCTTATTTCAAGTATCGAAATTATGAATTAAAGCGAAAGCCACCCTTTATAACCTTCAAAAGATGCCTTTCAATACTTCTTAACAAGTTATTGATCGTTATTTAATAGGAAACCAAGCAAGCACTTCAATGTCTCTCTTGACTTTGAAGGAAGTGATTTGTGCCCAGAATCCATTGTTTTATGTCTATTTAAGGCATCACAGATTATCCCAGAACATTTGCTTTATTTCTTTATCTTTCATACTCTATGCACGGAAATTTTAATTTTCCACACTCTGGTTCTTTTAAGGTTGTTCAATAAAGCATCATAGGCAACGACAATTCAAATGTATTTAGGAGCGACGATTAGGATAAAGTGGAAGCTGACTTACCGGTTATCTAATCGGTTTGGGGATTTGAAAAAGCGAAATTTATGGAATGGCGTGCAAAAAGGAAACGTCCTTTCTCTTTCCTGGATCATCATCGGTATGCCAATTGTTCATCCGTCAAGTCAGGCGTTATTTTTAAAATAATCTATGACCTCAGCCAGATTTTTCTCTCTCCTCTTTGTATGTATAAAAGGAATTGGAATAGTAATCTTTAACCTTTTATCACTTCCCAAACTCTCTCAAACAACAACGGCAATTTCTCTTACTATTCATCATCTTCTTCAAGCTTCTACAATGGCAGACTCTTCGTCCGTTCATGATATTTCTGTTCGTCAACCACTTCTCACAATCAAACCCCAAGAGAACCTGATCCTCGATCTCACTCCGTTTTTCTATGAACCTTACATGCTATACGTTGTTGAGTGTCTCAAATACTCACATCTCGTCGAAGGGCTGACCAAATTTGAAGTCGTACCAATGTCGTGCCTTTCTCTTGTATACTCCACTGCCTACTACGACAAGGTTCATGAAAGGATTCAATTCGAAATCCACAATGAGAAGACCTCTATCTCCAAGCACCGCTTTTGTGCCCTAATTGGTCTGTCTCAAGAACAATCTCTGGTAAACCCTGAATCCATCACCACTGGTCAATTGTTTTCCATGTTTTATGAGATGGGGTATACTTAAACCCACACCACAATCACCAAGTTTAAGAAGTCCTGCCTTCCTCCTTAATGGAATGGCCTTTTCACGTTACTGTTCAAGGGACTCTCTAAGCGGAGCGCCAGCTCAGATGGTGTAAGAAAGTCTTTTATGACTGTGCTATATGGGCTGTACCATGGGATCGACATGGATTTTGGAACTATCATCTGGTAGCAATTGGTACAAAGCTTGGTCTCTTAATCCAGACACTCTGAGATCTCATGTGACCAATTTTGGTCAATCATCACCCATTGGGCAATGGACCGCCTTCATGTTCCAATCATGGCGGACTCTCTTCTCTCCTCCATTGCTACCTTTCACACAACCAAAATCATTGTCACCGATCCCACCAAGTACTCATTTATTGGATCTATTCCTGAAGATATGCTCTCTCATATCTCTACGTCGAGTAACGTTCTCCAACAATACAAGAAGCATCCATATTCAGGTCTAAGGGAGCTTACCCCAGCCATGGTTCGCTCTATTGAAGAGGCTGACAAACCTGTGAAAAGGGGCAACAAACCTAAAACCACAAAGAGGCACAAGTTTCCAAACCAACCAAAGGGAAAACCCTTAAGAAGCGAAAGTCTGATAGGGTTGTTACATCACCTCCTGAACTGAAGAAGCTGAAGAAGCCCGCTAGGAGGCTTATACTACAATCCTCTAGTAACTCAGATTCAGAGTATGTTCCTCCCCAACATAAGAATGCTCCTCCTTCAGAATCTGAGAGCAAAAGCTCTGATGATGAGGCTTCGGGTCGAGGTGATACTCTACCTCACTCCCCTACATCAAAAATTCCAGTTCGCTCTCACCCTCCATCACCTCCACCTGTAACCATCCCAGTATCCATCCCTCCAATTTTCCCCATCCCCACTACACAACCTTTTGCTTCTATACCCATCCGTACTCCCATATTCACAGACACTACCACCACCACTACACAACCTTTTGCTTCTATACCCATCCGTACTCCCTTGGACCTGAATAGATCCCCACTAAGTACTCATTTATTGGATCTATTCCTGAAGATATGCTCGCTCATATCTCTACGTCGAGTAACGTTCTCCAACAATACAGGAAGCATCCATATTCAGGTCCAAGGGAGCTTACCCCAGCCATGGTTCGCTCTATTGAAGAGGCTGACAAACCTACGAAAAGAGGCAAGAAACCTGAAACCACAATAAGGCACAAGTTTCCAAACCAACCAAAGGGAAAACCCCTAAGAAGCGAAAGTCTGATAGGGCTGTTACATCACCTCCTGAACTGAAGAAGCTGAAGAAGCCCGCTAGGAGGCTTATACTACAATCCTCTAGTAACTCAGATTCAGAGTATGTTCCTCCCCAACATAAGAATGCTCCTCCTTCAGAATCTGAGAGCAAAAGCTCTGATGATGAGGCTTCGGGTCGAGGTGATACTCTACCTCACTCCCCTACATCAAAAATTCCAGTTCGCTCTCACCCTCCATCACCTCCACCTGTAACCATCCCAGTATCCATCCCTCCAATTTTCCCCATCCCCACTACACAACCTTTTGCTTCTATACCCATCCGTACTCCCATATTCACAGACACTACCACCACCACTACACAACCTTTTGCTTCTATACCCATCCGTACTCCCTTGGACCTGAATAGATCCCCACTAAGTACTCATTTATTGGATCTATTCCTGAAGATATGCTCGCTCATATCTCTACGTCGAGTAACGTTCTCCAACAATACAGGAAGCATCCATATTCAGGTCCAAGGGAGCTTACCCCAGCCATGGTTCGCTCTATTGAAGAGGCTGACAAACCTACGAAAAGAGGCAAGAAACCTGAAACCACAATAAGGCACAAGTTTCCAAACCAACCAAAGGGAAAACCCCTAAGAAGCGAAAGTCTGATAGGGCTGTTACATCACCTCCTGAACTGAAGAAGCTAAAGAAGCCCGCTAGGAGGCTTATACTACAATCCTCTAGTAACTCAGATTCAGAGTATGTTCCTCTCCAACATAAGAATGCTCCTCCTTCAGAATCTGAGAGCAAAAGCTCTGATGATGAGGCTTCGGGTCGAGGTGATACTCTACCTCACTCCCCTACATCAAAAATTCCAGTTCGCTTTCACCCTCCATCACCTCCACCTGTAACCATCCCAGTATCCATCCCTCCAATTTTCCCCATCCCCACTACACAGCCTTTTGCTTCTATACCCATCTGTACTCCCATATTCATAGACACTACCACCACCACTACCACAACAGGTGCTCATTCTATCGCCCCCAATCCACCAGTAACAACTGAACCACCTGTCACAACCGAACCTCCAGCCACAACCAAACCTTTATCTCCCACTCAATCTACATAACAACCCCTATTCTAGGTAGTGAGGACCTGGAATTTGATTCCACGTATTTCAGTCCTTGCCATGTGCAGAGTGATCATGATGATGATGAGCCTGTTACAAAGCGTCATCTCAAGGAAGTGAATGAAAAGCTTGATCAACTGCTCTCATCCTCTTCCTCCGAAGCTCACTCTGAAGATGCTTTAAAGGCCTTGTTCTCATCTACTGTTAAAGAACACAGTGTCTCACTCTCTGCTGCAGCAAAAGCCATTGAAGCCTCTACTTCATAGTGTCAACAAGCCTCACTTACTGTTGATGCTTCTACTAAGGAGTGCAAGGAAGAGACCGTAAAAGTCGATAAAATAGTTTCTGAAGCTCAACTGTTTCTAGATTCCTTGCAGGAAGTTGCCAAGAAGAATGCTCAAACCGTCAACGCTTTGGTGGATAATCTTCAACGGTCCCTTCAGTCTGAAAGATCCAACCTTGAAGCTACACGCCAAGCGATTGAAACTGCAAACGCGTCTCTACATTAATGATCGACTTACTCAACTTGAGGCCGAATTAGTTGTAGAGAATCGAATCATGGATGAGCTTAACATGAGAACCTCACAGCTGAAAATGCAAAATTACAAGCTGTGTACTGCTACTGCTGAGGCCAATGACCTGAAATCAGAAAGGGAGGTCAGTTGGAGTTATGTTGCTGATGTTCACTCTATCCTCCTTTATCTCCTTGAAGGGCACGATCCAATCATCACTATCACGATCAGACGACACCTGGCTGATAAACTCAGGCCAACATTGGACATCCTTAGTCGTATCGAGGGTATTCCGGTGACTAGTGTCCAGCTGAAACAAGGCGGGGAAAAGCAAACTCAACCTCCTCCTGGACCGAAACCATTTACTGAACCGAAGGGTAATGAAGCTTCGATCAGTAACAAGGAGAAAAAGAAGAGGAAGATTGGAGAGGATGACATAGACAATGAGGATGACGTCTATGCTGAGAATCTTAAAAATCCTTTTCAGAAGGTAAAGCTCTCTGAAAAAGAGCTGGAAGAAAAACTCAAGAAACAACAGGCTGAGCCCGAGCAAAAAATAAAGGAGACGGAGCTCCTAGAGAAGAAAAAGTCCATGTTTCCTGTCTGGACTATAGATTCTCTTCAGAGATGCGCAATTGATGAGCCAAGCATCCTTTGGCTTGAGCCAGTAATGTCATTTGGGCTCAAGAACTCCAAGGATGCACAGTTCGACATGCCAATCACACGAAAGGCATTTATCTTCCATTGCTTCAATTCGACTGCTGCTATTCCTTCCCCAGACCCGAAGGTAGATAAGGATCTGCTAGTGTTTTACTTGGAGTTTGCTCAACCCCAGTACTTGACCTGGAGTTTGAAGAAGATTACTACTATCAAGGTTCTGAAGCCCTACTCAGCGGGGAAGTTTATTAATGTTCAATTCAAAGTGAATCGAGGCACCGAAGGCTCGGTTCACAACTTCAACCTTCTTGATCTACCAAACCTTAACCCCCACAACTGGATACTCCTCAACAATATTCTACTATCAAATCCACAGGAGTACCAGCCAATAATTGACCATGTCAAGCGAATGCTTGTGTGCTACATTCATGAGGTAGCGAAGATGGACCAGGAGATTGCATCTGGCATTCACAAGTGAACCACAATCAAGCCTATGGCAAAGCAGGCAATGTCAACACTATGGTCAAGGGGAAGATTGATACCAAGTACCAAACTGTTATGTTCCTCAGGGGCGAAGGTCAGAAATGTCTGTTCGCTCTCGTTGACAAACATCTCTTCTCAACGTCTTGCCTGGAGCATATCTTGGAGATCATTCAGAGGTGTGATCAGAACAGTGCAGCTGATAAGAAGTTGTTCACTGATATGCTGAGATGATATATCCAGTTCGGCAGACACTTCTTGCAATAATTCATCGGGTGTTCAAAGTAATAAAGACAGTGAAGCCAACACAGAAGAAATAATCTCTCGCCTCATTTGACGCAAAGGGGGAGATTGTTGGGATTATTAGATTGCATCATGGGCTCGGTCCTTTGCCCAGTTTTAATTGCCGGTATTGGGCCTGTCCAACCATGCATATTTTGTTATAAGGTTTAGTATATAAGCTGCATGCATGCAGTCTTTGTAGTTAACGCTTTCATAATTTTTCTCTTTGGGTTTTGTAAACCCTAGCTCACCTCTACAGTGAAAGTTCTTCATCGAGCTCTGCTGAGGCATGACTTTATTGAATCATAAGCATACATTTGATTCTATTCTGTGTTCATTCATTTATTGTACTTGTCTTGTTTAATCTTCATAATCATACATGTGAAAGATCTAATCGATCTAGAGTTTAATTCTCATCATTTACATTGTTGAAAGGTACTTGTTTCAAAAACAAATTACAATATGATGTCAAAATGAAACTGAACTAACGCCACAATGTCCATTCTTCAAAAGCTATATGTTTACCTATTTTACTAAATTCCTGAGAAATACTAGTAGTTTTGAAAGAGTAGATCAACATTTAAGCTGGTGAGTTCATAAGTATTTAGTAACAATGTTTGTATGAAATAGAATGAAAATGGTGTGTACATGTTTGAATGTTCCTAGAAAATCTCATATTTTCTACTATAGTAGATGGTAGTTTAATTGCTCCAAAACTTATAATGCAATAGTGCTTTTCATGCCTAGAATATTAGATTTATGTATAAATTGCTAAGGCGTTTGAAAAACCCTGTAAAATAATGTGTTTTTAATACTCCATGTGAGCCTTATAACCATGCTATTTGACGAGGATGCCTATAACAACGTTCTTCAAGCGTTGGAAAGTTATGACGTTTGTCACCCCAGGCCTACCGGCCTAGCTGTAGCTAACAACTTAGGTGTAGGATTGTCAATCTCGTATAGATCTATACACAAGTATCACGCTCCCCCTACAAGGGATATTTGTATATAATACAGGACTTAAAATGCATACTCGAAAGTACGTGAAATGTCTCACAAAACTTAGTATAAAACAAATCTACGTATGAAAATATCCATTTGTTCTTGTGTATGAAAATATCTCTTTGATATAGTGTTTCTAGTATGTAAATGTTCATGATTTTCTTGTAAACTATACCTATTATAGTTTTTCAAAGTGTGTGTTTCGTTTGTATAGTAGACCCTAGTGTAATACTCACTTGTTATATAAAGTATAATATTTATAGTGACATAAATGATCACATATACTTAAAGTATAAATAAAGTGTTTGATTCGTGTGTGTGTGTGTATATATATATATATATATATAAACATGTTTTATTTCAAAAAGACAGGATGTTATCGAGAATATATATATATATATATATATATATATATATATATATATATATATATATATATATATCACATACGAAAGTTCTCATGTAGTAGTTATGAATCACATATGATTTACTTGATAAAAAGAGTATATAGAGAAACTTTAGGTTACACACGATAATAACCGTGTGTTTACTTGTATTCCCCCCCCCCTCCCCTAAAAGGGTATAAAAAAGAATTGATAAAATATTTGAAAGTGTAGTTTATAGGGGTATGAACTCACCTAATAGCTTGGAGAAGGTGAGACAAAAACCGAGCAAAACTTTGACTTGAGGAAGCAGATTTTCTCGGGATTCAAAGGAATATCGGGAGCGTAAACTTCCTTCGGGGCTTGGGTATGAAAACCGGGGCTTCGGGATATTTCTTGCACGCAAGATGGGGTAAAAACGCAAGAGAAAGAGAGGAATTGAGCAATTTTACCCGAAACCCTTGCATCCCTTTTATAGGAGGCGGAACCGCCTCGGTATGTTGGGCGTACGCGTACGTCATGCATGACCGCATCCTCGGCTGCCGGAGCTCAGATGGGATAGGACAATGAAGCGTAGAGGGGCGACGTGGATGTTTCGAGGCCTAGCAATTGAGTACGCTGGGCGTAACTCGGATCAGTCCGGTGACTCCTCCTCTGGATAATACCGGATTTTGAATTAAATTTATATTTTAATTATTTAGTAAATTTCAAAAATTCATATCTTTTTCATACGAACTCCGTTTTCGACGTTCTTTATATCCACGCATAGGTGAGACTATGCTCTACAACTTTTGTTATACTCCATCGGCAAATTTTGAAATTATTTTTATTATTTATTTTTAAAAGGTCAAGGACGGAAAAGTCCGTTAGAAATCCATAACTTCCTCATCCGATGTCTGTTTTCGCCAGATTTTTTACTGTTGTAATAACATTGTCGAGACCTTCAATTCTCATTTACGTTGTTCCGGCCAAATGTCGCTCGATCTCTGTTTCGAGTTTTTAGCTGTCTATCGCTATACCGAACTTCGAAAATTATAACTTCCTCATACAAGGTCAGATTTGGGCGTTCTTTTTATGTAAGTTCATGGCTTAATGAAAACTACAACTTTTATTTAAATACCTAAGGCTAATAAGTATTTTATTGAAATTTCTCGTTTAACGTTTAACCGAAATGATGGTTTTTGTTGTGAATCTTTGGTTAGTCATAACTTCTTCGTTATGACTCGGTTTTCAGTGTTCTTTATATTTCTGAAAGTCTTGACATGATAACTATCATTTTAGGCAACCCAATAGAGACTTTTATTTTCGATGCTAGTTTCATTATTTCAAAAGTGGTTACAATACCTGACTTTTTAGGTCATTACATAAAGTCGAAATATCGGGTTGTCACATTGTGACTTTGGGGCTATATCATTACAAAAGGATCATTGCGTAAAATGTTAGAATCTAACATATTCTAATAGTGGCAATAATTTGGTATTTTTACACTTATGGTAAGGATTGGGAATTGTGAAATGAGTATCATTAGAAATGCGTTCAATTGATTTATTTCACAAAGTAAGGACCATAGATAAACATAGTGTGCATGCTTGGAGCATGGGATGACTATTGTTTCAATGTAAATGTTAAGTTGATTATGTGAAACATTATACAATGAATAATGTGTAATCAAACATCTAGAATAACTAGGTTATTCAAAAATCCACAATCAATCATACTTTGGAAGTAGGAAATGAGGTAAGACTATCATGAATCCGACTGTAGATTGTCTAAAGCGTTTTCAACATAGCAAAATTCTGCTGTAGTATTTGTAACATCCCGAAATAGCAAGGCTTGAGTGGAAGGGCTAAAAGTGTAAATTGGGAAAGAGTAACTCGGAGAGTCCATGGATGGACTCGGCGAGTAGAGTCGCGACTTGGTCGCTTGTTAAATAGCCGACTCGGCGAGTCA